AGACGTCGTCGGCGCGCTGGGGCTCCGCGGCGATGCGCGGCTTCTGCACGGGCACGATGGACACGCGCCAGTCGAGCGCGGGCCGCTCGAGGTAGCCCAGCCGCGTCTGGGGCGCGCCGTGGCTGACGACGACGTAGGCGCCGCCGGGCTTGAGCACGCGGAACGCCTCGGCCGTCATGAGCGCGACGCCGCTCAGGTTCTGCGACCCGCAGAGCACGCAGTCGAAGAGCGCCTTGTCGAGCACGAGGTCGTAGGCGCATTCGTCGAACGCGCGCAGGTCGCGGCAGTCGGCCTCGCGGTACTCGAGCCGGTCCTTGGCGCCGTAGCGGTGCTGCATGTGCGCGACGAGCGCGCGGCACCTAAAAACGGCGGGTCCGCGGCCGCGCCGCGGCCGCGCGGCGGCCGCCGGGACGCCGGAAACGCGCGCGTCGACGCACACCACGCGGTGCGCGTGTCTGTCGCTGAGCTCCGCGCCGATCTCGCTCGCCCCGCAGCCGGAGACGAGCACGTCCTTGGCGTCGCCGGCGAGCACGGGCTCGAGGTAGGGGATGACTGCGGGACGCGGGGGGGGGTGCGCGGCGCCGGGGAACGCGGGGGCGCGGCGGACGCGCGGTCCTCGTAGCCGAGGTAGAGGTCCAGGGGCGGCGGCTCCGCGTAGTAGCGCCGCTCCCAGTAGTCCGCGGCACCGTAGTCGCGCTCGATGGCGGCGGCCATCGGCTCGGGAACGGCGCGGGGCAGCCTTTTGACTCGTAGGTCGATGGCGCCGGGGCAGCGTAGTTGAAGATTATGTTGCATTATGAGGTGTCTCGGAGCGCTCTGAATTCGAAGCGTGCCAGAAGCCATCACGATCATCGCGTCGCTCGCCCTCTCGCGTGCAGCATGCGCCCGCAACTCAAGCACCCCATCCGCGTGCTCGTGAGCCGCGCGGCGTCGTCGACGTCGCACGCGCTCGACAGCAGCGGCTACTCCATCGCGTCCCTCTTCTCGGAAGCCTCGACGTCGAAGAGCTTTCCCGACGCGGAGCTCGCGGCGCGTCTCGCCGAGCTCAAGGCCTGGGACGACCTCCCCGCGGCGCGCACGCCGCCGCCGCTGCCGCCGCTCGAGGCCGCGCGCCTCCGCCTCCGCGACCGCTTCGCCGCGAACTTCGTGCCCGAGCTCGAAGCCGTCGCCGAGGCGCGCGCGGCCGCGCCGGCCCGGCCGGACTACGCCGCGCCGGCGCGCGCCCGCCTCCGCGAGACGTTCCTCGCCAAGTTCCCCGTCGCCGACGCCGCCGCGCCCGAGGCCGCCGCGCCGCCGCCGCCGGCCCGCGCCGACCACAGCGCCGCGGCGCGCGAGCGCCTCCGCGCGCGCTTCCTCGCCAAGTTCGGCCCCGAGCTCTGACCGTCGTCCGCGCCCCCTTTTTCGCGCCGCTAAAAACACCCCAGCGGCATTGAGCCCTCTGGTCGCTCCCCGCCCCTCACCACTCGCCGCCCGCGGGCCACTCGCCGAGGACCTTGGCGCCCTGGGATTCCGCCGGCAGGAAGTGGAGCTCCTCGAGGCCCGCGCTCCCCAGGCAGACGATGGCCGGCACGCCGGACCGGCGGCCGTCGCCGAACTCGGGCCGCTCCTTTCCGGCCCAGATCTTGAACGCCGTCTTGAGCTCCGCGGCCTTGCCGTAGTCGACCTGGAGCATGCCGAGGGCCTTGGCGCGCGTCCGCGCCGCCTCCGCCGAGCCGTCCGACGACACGAGCACGAGCGCGACGGGCGACGCGGCCGACTCGCCGCTCGCCGTCGCCGCGCGGAACTGGAGCAACGACGGCTCGAAGGACGTGCACATGGGACACCAGCCGGCGGCGAAGTAGAGCCCCACGCGCATGCCGGCGAGCGCCGCGGCGTCGACGGGCGCGCCGTCGGCGTCGCGCAGGCCGCCGAGGAGGTCGAGGCTCGACGCCGCGGCCATGGGTCGCGCGCCCCGGCGGAGGGCCGGCGTCGCACCTGGCCGCGTGCGCGCGAGCAGCGCGAACGTCGTGCAGCACGTGAGGGCGGCGCAGGCGGCGTTCCGGCGCAGCATGCACGTCGTACGCAGTCGGATGGACGCTGCGGCTGCGGCACACCAGAAGTCGCAGTCCAGCGCGCGGCAGCACCACGGCACGATGCCGCCCCTCCCGCCCAGGCTGCCCGGCCTCTCCGCTCTCCACCAGCCGCGCCGCAAGTCGACTTCTTCGACGTCGGCCCGGGCAGCCCGGGGGCTCTCCGCTCACCACCAGCCGCGCCGCAAGTCGACTTCTTCGACGCCCGGCCGCCCCCGCGGATTGCCGCCATGGCGCCCATGTCGGAGGACGAGCACAACGTGCAGCACATTTTGTACGTCACGTCCGACGTCGCCCTCCAGGCCAAGCACCGCGCCGACGACGCCATGGTCGCCGGCGACTACGACACGTCCATCAAGGAGCTGACGACGTCCATCGACGAGCTGGCCATCGACGCCGAGGCCTTTTGCGCGCTGCGCCACGCGGCGGCCTTCCTGCGGAACACGCGCGCGTTCAACCTGCTGCGCCTGGGCCGCTACGACGAGGCGCGGGAGGACGCGATGGCCTGCATGGAGCTCGACATCGAAGGAGGCGCGTGGCACCGCGTCATCACGGCGGCCGAGGGCCGCGTCCCCATCGAGGAGGTCATCAAGGCCGAGGCCGAGGCCGAGGAGGAGCGCCTGGAGAAGGAGAAGGCGTCCATCGTCGTCCCCGAGGCGCTGCCGCGGTCGTCGAAGCGCGGGTCGACGGCCGTCGAGCCCTTCTTCACGGAGCTGGGGCTCGCGGCGAAGGGAGCCGGCGAGGCCGAGTTCGCGCGGCGCGCCTACGGCCGCGCGCACCGCCACTACTCCGAGGCGCTCTGCGAGGCGAAGCTCGACGAGATGAGCCACCCGGTGCGCCGCGCGCACGCGATGCTCCGGTGCAACCGCGCGCTCTGCTCGCTGCTCATGCGGCGCTTCGAGGCCGCGCGCGAGGACGCGCGCGAGGCCGTCAAGCTCGACGCGACGTGGGGCCGGGGCTGGGACCGCCTCATCGCCGCGTGCGCGGGCCTCGGCGACGCCGAGAACCTCGCGGAGGCGAACGCGGCGCTCGCGGAGGCGACCGTGCGCCGCGCGGACAAGTTCGCCTGCCCGAAGGCGACGCGGCTCCAGCTCGCGCGCGCGCGGACCTGGCGGACGTCGCTGCCGGCGGCGGCCGCGCTGGGCATCCTCGACGCGGAGGAGAAGGACGAGACGTGCCAGATCTTGCTCCAGCGCGCCGTCGCGCTCAAGGGGAAGCTCACGGTGCACGTCGTCGGCTGCGACGACGCCAAGGAGGGGCTCGCGGACTACGCGAGCCTCTGCAGGTGGATCCGGGAGCTCGTGCCCTACTGCGAGCACGCGGAGCTCGACGTGAAGCTCGTGGGCTTCCACGACAAGCGCTGGTTCCTGGGCCCCCGCGACGAGCTCGCGGCGTCGGACCCGCGCGTCGCGGCCATGGTCGCGAACCTCGACGACTGCTGCGAGCGCGAGCAGCCCCACCTGAAGCTCGAGGTCGTCGACCTCTTCCGGAAGGGCCGCGTGAAGATCCTGGACCCGCTCGAGGAGAAGAAGAAGCGGCGCGAGGAGGAGGACGAGCGCGTCAACGCCGAGGTCATGGAGAAGATCTACTTCAACGACCCGGACAAGATCCGGTCCATGCGCGAGGACGAGGAGCGGAAGAAGGTCGACAAGGTGAAGCTCGAGAAGCTCATGCGCGAGCGGGACCGGCGGCCCACGAAGCCCCTCATGTGGCACGACGCGTACCGCGCCGAGGACCCGGAGGAGGAGGCGAAGCGGCCGGAGGTCGTGCTGCTCGCGAACCCCGGCGTCGACTTCAACTTCGACCGCTGGTACCCGACGGTCGCGGCGCTCATCATGCAGGGCGCGCTCATCGTCGTCACGGGCCACACGGCCGTCGAGGGCTGGTCCGACGAGGCCGTGGGCGCGCAGGACATCTTCGAGCGCCTCGGCGCGCGCGTCGTCGTGCCGCGGACGCGGTGCAAGCTCTACTGCCGCACGTCGAGGCTCGCGCGCGTCCAGCCCTTCTACAACGTGCGCCCCAAGGGCACGAAGGTCGTCCGGGACGCGAGCCTCCTCGACGACGAGGACGTCTTCGCGGAGAACGGCTTCTACTTTGTGTGCCAGGGCATCGACCTGCGGAACTGCCCCGCGGACCAGCAGCTGCCCATGGGCCAGTACGAGCTCGACCTGTGCAAGAAGCACGTCGGCGCGCACCTCTGCCGCCGCGCCGCGGACCTCGAGAGTCGGCCCGACGTCGCCGACGAGCTCCGCAACTCCGCGAAGAAGCTCGACTGGGGCACGAAGGGCGTCGACAAGGACCGGAGCTTCCAGGCCGAGGACTTTCTGTGCCTCATGAGCCCCCTCTACAACAAGGAGCGCGCCAAGTACCTCGAGCGCAAGGAGGAGCGGCGCCTCGACGTGCTCCGCGCGGAGCGCAAGGACTTCCGCGAGGCGCGGCTCGCGGCCAAGGCCGCGCGGGAGCAGCTCGACGACGCCGAGGCCGCGGCGGAGGCCGCGCAGGACGCGCTCGAGGCCGAGGACATGCGCGCGATCGCCGCGGCCGCCGCGAAGTTCGAGGCGCTCCTCGAGTCGAAGAAGCAGCCCGCGGCCATCGCGCCGAAGCCCCTCGACAACCCCTTCGACGACGACGACGACGACGACGACATGCCCCCGCTCGACGACGAGGAGTGGGCCGCGTGCAACGACGTCGACGACGGCGACCTCGGCCTCGTCGACTAGGCCCGCGGGGGACGGGCCCGCGCCGCTCGGGGCCGGTAAAAAACGCGCTAGCTTACGGCCGCCGCGCCGGGGAGGTCGTCGCCCGCGAGCGCCTCCCCGGGGAAGAGCGCGCGCTTGGGGAAGTTGAGCAGGTCGCGGAACCAGGGCCTCGCCAGCGTCAGCACGAAGACGGGCCGCGGCCCGCCCGTCGTGTTCTCCGTGCCCCGGTGGAGCACGCGGTAGTCGAAGAGGACCGCGTCGCCCGGGTCGAGGCGGGGCACGGCGGGCGGCCGGAGCGTCTTCTTGATCTTCGCGACGAGCATCATGCGCTTCAGATCGCGCGTGAGGTAGTGGGATCCGGGCCGGAACTCCGTGCCGCCGCCCCGCGAGACGTCGACGAGCGGCAGGAACACGTTGACGCAGTGCGGCGCCGCGTGGCGCGCGGCGTCGAGGTGGCCGCCGTCGACGTGCCACGCCTGCGCCGCGCAGGCCGCCTCGGCGACGACGCAGGAGCAGCCCAGCACGACGGCCTCGCCGCCGAGGGCGGCGACGGCGACGGCGTGCGCGCGCGAGGCCTCGACGATGCGGCGCAGCGCGGCCCAGTCGCGCGACGGCGCGCGCCGCATCTCGTAGCGGCCGACGTGGCGCCGCACGATCTCGCGGTAGCCGCCCTTCTGGCCGACGCCCGGCGGCACGGGCTCGCCGCGCGCCGCCATGGCGTCGAAGCACTCCGCGAACGCGACCAGCGCCGCGTCGCGGCCCCGGGCGAGGGCGCCGGCGGGCGCGACGCCGCGCACGGCGACGTAGCCGTCGGCGAGGAACGCGGCCGTGAGGGCCGCGACGCCGTCGTCGTCGGCATCCGGCGGCGGCGGCGCGGCGTCGAGCGAGAGGGCCGCGACGCCGTCGTCGGCATCCGGCGGCGGCGGCGCGGCGTCGAGCGAGAGGGAGGACGCTGCGGCGGGCAGCAAAGCGTCGGCATCCGATGGCGGCGGCGCGGCGTCGAGCGAGAGGGCAGGCAACAAAACGGCCATCTCGATTTGCCTTGACGCGTCTCTAAACGTAGGGGGCCCGGGAGGAACCGCGGGGGACGGGAGGCTCAAAGGGGTCTCACAGGCGCGGGAGGCGCCAGTGGACGACGGCGTCCTGGCGCAGGCGCCAGTGCCGCTCGCAGTGGGGATTTGCCACAAACAGCATCAAAAACAGCGAGCGAACGCTGCCGTCACGGTGCCGTAGGCGAGCATATGGACGCCGCCATGCCGCAGCCGGAGCTGCAGCCGCAGCCGCAGCCGCAGCGGTCGGACGCCGCCGCGCCACAGCTGCAGCCGCAGCCGGAGCTGCAGCCGCAGCCGACGGCCGTCGAGCCGGCGGCCAAGCGCCAAAAGACGAGCGACGACCTCTGGCGGCGCCTCGGCAGCCCGCGGTCGGCCCTCGCGCCGCTCGTCGACCAGTCGGAGCTCGCCTACCGCCTGCTCTGCCGCTCCTACGGCGCCGGCATCTGCTGGACGCCCATGATGGACGCGACGAGGTTCGTCGCCGACGCGGCCTACCGGCGCGCCGTCTTCGAGGCCGGCGCCGGCGCGCCGGCGGACCGGCCGCTGGTGGCGCAGTTCGCCGGCGACGACCCGGCGGCGATCCTCGCGGCCGCGCGGCTCGTGGAACACCGCGTCGACGTCGTCGAGCTCAACTGCGGCTGCCCCCAGAAGGTCGCGAAGCGGGGCCATTTCGGCGCGTTCCTGCTCGACGAGCCCGAGGTCATTGTGGCCGTCGTGCGCGCGCTCAAGCGGGGGCTCGCGTGCGCCGTCAGCGCGGCCACCGTCGCGTTGGCGCGGCGCCTCGAGGCCGCGGGCGCGGACCTGCTGACGGTCCACGGCCGCACGCGGGCCATGAAGAAGTGCGGCTTCCCCTGCGACTTCGCGGCGATCGCCGCCGTGAAGCGCGCGGTCCGCGTGCCCGTCGTCGCGAACGGCGGCGTCGAGCGCCACGCGGACTTTGCGCGCGCGCGCGAGCTCACGGGCTGCGACTGCGTCATGTCCGGCGAGCTCGCGCTCGCGCACCCCCGGGCCTTCTTCGACGGCGACGCCGGGCCCCGCGCGGCCGTCGCCGCCGCGCGCGCGTACCTCGCGCTCGCGGAGGCGACGGGCGCGCGGCTCCGCGAGGCGACGCTGCACTGCGACAAGCTGCTCTACGCTGTGCCGAAACCAACCAGTGGTTTGGGTGGTCCTGACCAAACTTGAGAATTCTCTAGCTCGGTCAAATCAAAGTCGATTCGGCTGATTTTTGGACGGATCGATCGCTCTCGTCGAGTTCTTGAAGCCCAGCCGAAGAGCTTGTGTCAAAACATTCGAATACGCTCACATTGAAGTCGGGTTGAAGATTTGGTTTCGGCACAGGCTCTACGGCCTCGGGGGGGCCTTCGGCGACGCGGCGAGCCTCGCGGACCTCGCGGCGCGCGTCGAGGCCGTCGCCGGAGCCGCGGACCTCGACGCGGCCGCGCCCTCCTGGTACCGACGCTACCGTTCGAGCGACGGCGACATCGCCGCCTTCCTCGCGGCGCGCGGCGACGCGGCGCTCCTGCCCGGCGGCCGCGTGCGCTGCGAGCTCACGGGCCACGAGCTCGCGCCCCAGCTCCCGGAGCTCGAGGCCCACTGGGCGGGGCGGCGCTACCGCAACGCCGCGAAGCGCGCCGCGAAGGACGCGGGGCGCGCGGTAACCTGATCCGCCGAGTGAAACTCGACGGCACCGTCGTGACCTTGAAGCACTGGCCCGCGCGCGCTGGGAATCCCGGGCAGCCCGAACGTCGCTGGGCTGCCCCCAAGCCGTGCGAGAGCATGGGCAGCGGCGTCTCCTCGCCGCCGAAGCGGGACCGCACGCTCCCCGCCGCGCCGCCGCCGGCGGTGTTCCACTTCGACGACCCGCGGCCGCTCGCCGTCGCCGCGCTCGGCGACCGCCTCATCGCCGGCCGGCCCTGGCCGCACTTTTTCGCCGGCGCGGAGCTCGGCCGGGGGACCTTCGCCACCGTGCAGCGCTGCGCCGCGCGCGACGCGACCGCCGCCGCGCTCGGCGGCGGAGCACCCGTCGCGCTCAAGACGATATCGAAGCGCGGCGACGCGGACCACCGACGGACGCGCGGCGCGACGCTGTGGACGGAGGTCCTCGCGCTGACGACGCTCGCGGGCGACGCGGGCTGCCTCCGGCTGCTCGCGGTCTTCGACGAACCGCAGGCGACGCACCTCCTCACGGACTGCCTCGAGGGCGGCGAGCTCTTCGACCGAATCGTCGCGCGCGAGCCGCCGCCGACGGAGGCCGAGGCGCGCGACGCCGTGGGCCAGGTCGCCGCCGCGCTCGCGGCCGCGCACGCCCTCGGCGTCGTGCACCGGGACGTCAAGGCCGAGAACCTCATCTACGCCGACGCGGCGGCGACGCGCCTCGTCGTCTGCGACTGGGGCCTCGCCGAGGTGATCCCCGCGCGCGCGCCGCGGCGGTGCCTCACGCGGTGCTGCGGCTCGCCGCTCTACGTCGCGCCCGAGGTGCTCGCGTGCGGCCGCGACAAGTCGACGCCCTACGGCGCCGAGGTCGACGCGTGGTCGCTGGGCGTCGTCGCGTACATCTGCCTCTGCGGCTACCCGCCCTTCTACGGCGACGAGCGGGCCGAGCTCGAGGCCGCGATCTCGCGGGGCGACTACGCCTTCGAGGCCCCGGACTGGGACCACGCGAGCGCCGAGGGCCGCGCCTTCGTCGCGGCGCTGCTGCGCGTGGACCGCGACGCGCGGATGACCTGCGCCGACGCGCGGGGCCACGCGTTCCTCGCGGGCGACGGGGCCAACGCGCTGCACCCGGCCTACGTGTCGCGGCTCGAGGAGTTCAACGCGAAGCGGCGGCTCAAGGGCGGCGCCTTCGCCGTGGCCGCGGCGTGCGCGTTCCAGGACAGCGTCCGCGGCCGGACGTCCCGGGGCCTCGAGAAGCTCCGCCAGTCGTCGCGCAAGGCGCTCGAGCTGAGCCGCGGCGACGCGAGCTTCGCGTCGAAGCAGGACGCCTACGTCGTCCGCGGCCGCGACGGCTCCGGCGACACCGCGCCCCTCGCGATCGGCGCGGCCTAAGTGCGCGTTACTCCGACGCCCGCCGGACGCACGACTCGGCGTCCGCGGGGCAGTAGATGAGCGTGCCGTCGTCGAGTTCGACCTGGTACGGCGCGAGGAAGCCCGGCAGGTCGTCGGCCTCGCGGTAGAGGTGCCGGATGACCGTGCCCGCGGCCCAGCCCCCGCCGCGGTTGCACTCGACGCGCGCGCCGACGCGGAAGCGGAGCCCCTCGCTCTTCTTCTTGTAGTTCTCCGGCGTCGCGAGGCACGCGAGGAAGCCCGCCTTGAGCGCGCCGTGGTCCAGGTGCTTGCCGATGAACGTGAGCTTCGAGACGCGCTCCCCGGGCGCCCAGGGGTCCATGAAGCGGCCGTCGAAGATCATGTGGACCGCGTGGTAGACGTACCGATCGGGCACGTCCGCGACGCTCAGGATGCCCTTGATGCGGAAGAGGTTCGGCCCCTCGTCGCGGAGGAGCCCCTGGAGCCAGTCCTGGAAGAGGCCCAGGTCCACGTCCGCCTCGGACGTGTCGAAGCCCAGCGACGTCACGGACTGGTCGTGCTCGTGCTCGCCGTCGGTGTCGAGGAACGCGGGGTCCATTTCGAGCGTCCGCGTGAGGTCGAAGGCGCCGATATTCAACACCTGGTCCGCGGCGACGCGGGACTGCTCGCACCGCACGATGGGCGCGAACTTGTTGATGGCCCGGAGCCGGCCCTCGACGCGCCGCAGCGCCGCCTCGTCCGGCACGAGGTCCGTCTTGTTGAGCACGAGGCGGTCCGCGAACGCGACCTGCTCCACGGCCTCGTTCTCCGCGCCCTCGGGCTTCTCCTCGTCGAGGTGCTGCTCGACGTGCTTCGCGTCGACGAGCGTCACGATGCCGTCGAGGCGCGCGAAGGCCCCGACGGCCTCGTCGACGAAGAAGGTCTGGGCCACGGGCGCCGGGTCCGCCATGCCCGTCGTCTCGATGATGATGCCGTCCAACGGGCGCGCGTCGTGCTTCCCCTTGAGCTTCTTGAGCACGACGCTCAAGTCCGCGCGGACCGTGCAGCAGATGCAGCCGTTCATCATCTCGATGAGCTCCTCGCCCTCGACCTGCTGCCGCATGTTGTTCTTGAGGAGCGCGTCGTCGATGCCGACGTCGCCGAACTCGTTCTCGATGACGGCGAAGCGCTTCTTGTGGTCCATGCTCGTCAAGATGTGGTTGAGCAGCGTCGTCTTACCGCTGCCGAGGAAGCCCGTGAGGATCGTCACCGGCACCTTCTGGAACTTGGCCATGGCTGCCTTCCGCCGGCGAGCGCGGATGTCAAAGTGCTCGGACGGGATGGGCTGCTTCGCGAGAGCGGGTTTAGACTCCTGTTACTTGAGTCAAGTTGATCTGCATCGACCGAAGTTACTGCGGTGGAAGCGCTGACGCCGGCGCCGATGGCCAGCGCATCGAGAACGTAGTGCCTGCACACACACACACACCCACGACGCTCCCGCTGCTCATGTTCCTGCCGCGGCTCAAGGTCGCCTGGCTCGCCGCCGCGGCCCTCGTCGCCTCCCTCAAGGTGCTCAGCTCGCGCCGCGCGCGCACGTCGCAGATCGCGGGCCTGCTCGCGGCCCACTCCATCCCCTCGAGCTTGTACGGCGACAACGAGGCGTCGAAGCTCGAGGCGTCGCTCGTCGCGGCGCTCCGCGGCGGCGTGCGCGCGCCGCCGCACCTCCGGGACGCCTGCGCGGCGACGCGGCCGTCGTTCAACGCGCTGATCCTCGAGCGCATGGCGCGGGACCGGCGCGACGTGCTCGCCGCGCTCACGGACAAGGCGCTCGTGCGGACCTGGGCCGCGGCGCGCAACGCCTCGACGCCCGACCTGCTCCTCGCGAGCCGCACCTGCGACGCGGACTTTGGCTCGCTGCGCGGCGACTTCGCCTTCAAGGCGACGCACACGACGGGCTGCCTCGTGCTCGTGGAGGACGGCCGGATCGCCGGCCACAAGCCCTGCGGCGAGGCGCGCCTGGCCCCGGGCACGCGCGCCGACGCCGATTTGCTCGCGGCCCTCTGCGCGCGGTGGACGTCGCGCATGTACGACGTCACGCAGTGGGCCTACGGCCAGCTCGAGCCGGGCGTCATCGCGGAGCGTTTGGTCTACGACGCGCGGGGCCGGCGGGCGGACGACGTCAAGTGCTACGCGTTCCACGGGTCCACGGCGCTCGTGCACCACGTCACGGCGCGCTTCGACGAGGCCTCGGGCCGGCCCCGGGGCGCGTCGAAGCGCGACACGTTCTACGACGCGACGACGGGCCTGCCGCGCGCGGGCGTCACGGTCGACGGGTCGCGGCCCCTCCCGCGGCGGTCGAGCCGGCTCCTCGCGCCGGGCGCGATCCGCGCGGCCGCGCGCGTCTGCGACGGCCTCGCCAAGGGCCTCGACTTCGCGCGCGTGGACCTCTTCGCGGCCGCGGGCGGCCTCTTCCGCGTCGGCGAGCTCACGATGTACCCGAAGCGCGGCGGCCACGCCTTCCAGCCCCGGGCGCTCGACGAGGAGCTCGGCCGCGCGTGGTGCCGCGCGGCCTAACGAGCGTGCCCTGTATTAGCTGACCTCGTCGCGCGCGTCGGCGACGTCGACGGCCGTCGACCCCGCGTTGAATGCCGGCGGCGGCCACGTCGGGTAGTCGTAGCCGCGGCCGCCGAGGGGCGAGCACCGCGCGAGGCGCCAGAGGAAGAGCACGAAGCCCTTGAAGAAGCCGAGCTCCTTGATGGCGATGGCCGTGTACTCGGAGCACGTCGGCGTGAAGCGGCAGTTCTTCGGCAGGTTGGGCGAGATCGCGCGCTTGTAGCCCCGGAGCAGCACGTACGCGAACTCGTCCCAGGCGCCCTCGGACGCGAACTCGGCGAGCTCCGGCTCGGCGTCGAGGTCCACGGGCGCGCGGCCGGCGTCGACGAGCGCGACGACGAAGAACGCGAGCGCGCCGGCGAGCAACGGAGCGTCGGCCGGCGGCTCGGCGGCCGCGTCGGCGTCCGCGGCGAGCGCCGACGCGGGCGCCGCGGCCGGCGCGAGGGCGGCGGCGGCCGCGAGCGTCGCCGCGCAGCCCGGCAGGGGCGCCATGCGGCCGCGCGGCGCGGGCCGCGCGGCCTTCGGCGCGGCGGGTGCCCGCAGCGCCGTCGGCGCGGCGAGGCGCCGCGCATCGCAGAGCACGCAGGCCGACGCGGCGCGGAGCGCCAGCGCCGCGACGACGAGGCGGCGCATCGGGTGAGACGCTGGCGGAAGGAGTGCGCGCGCACGGCGGCGCGTCGCGCGCAGAGGCACTGCCACTCGGGAGGGCTTGCTGCTCGATTCAACACCCTTCAACGAGCGCTTCAACCATGCGGTCCCAATCGGCGATTAGGTCATCCCGTCGTCGAGGCGCGCCCGCTTCGTCGCGCTCGCGTCGTCGTCGTCGTCGTCGTCGAGCGCGATCTCGTCCGGGTCGGGCACGTGGCTCGGCGCGAGGAGCGGCGGCGGCGCAGCGGCGGCGGCGCGCGGCGGCGGCAGGTTCATCGCCGCGCGCGGCGGCGGCAGATCCATCGCCGCGCGCGGCGGCGGCAGGTGCATGGCCGCGCGCGGCGGCGGCAGGTTCATCACCGCGCGCGGCGGCGCGAGGTCGAGGGGCGACGGCCGCGGCGCGCCGTCGTCGCCGCCGTCGTCGAGGGCGATCTCGTCGGGGTCGTCGACGCGGGCGCCGCGCGGCGCCGCGGGCGCGGCGCCGAGGCCGGCCCACGGGTCCGACACGACGGCGTCGTAGTCGAACGGCACCGGCTCGCCCGCGCGGCGCGGCGCGCCGCCGCCCTTGCCGCCGCCGCGGCCGCCCTTGCCGCCGCCCTTGCCGCCGCGACCGCCCTTGCCGCCGCGGCCCCGGCCGCCGCCCTTGCCGTTGCGCTGGCGGAAGCCGCCCTTGCCGCCCTTGCCGCCGCCGCCGAAGCGCTGCGGCGCGCCGCCGTAGATGCCGCCCATCGGCGGCGGCGGCGGCGGCGGCGCGCCGCCGCCGCGGCCGAAGGCAAAAGGCAGCATCGCGTCCGCGCGGCGACGCGCGACGCCTGCCGCGACTCGGACGCTGCCGCTGCGCGAGCACCGCGCGCGACGTCGCGGTCGGTCTCGACCAGCTCGAGTTCAATACTCTTCAATATCACTTCTCCAAAGCATCACCTTGCGGTGTTGCACTCCAACGCTGCTTATGTCTTGGGCTGCCCGGCGGAGCTCCGCCCTCGCGCCCGCGCGGTGAGGCGGCTTCCGGAGCCGAAGCCATGGCCAAGGACATGCGCGGCCTCGAGGTCGGCCAGCGCGAGCGACTGACGACGACCCAGACCGACATCCTCACGGTACGCGGCCCCCGCGCGCCCAAAATGCCCACGCCCGCCCCGCGCAGCACATCACGTGGAAG